AGGCGGAGGCGGAGGAGGAGGAGGAGGAGGAGGCGGAGGCGGAGGCGGAGGAGGAGGAGGAGGAGGAGGAGGAGGAGGAGGAGGAGGAGGAGGAGGAGGAGGAGGAGGAGGAGGCGGAGGCGGAGGAGGAGGAGGAGGAGGAGGAGGAGGAGGAGGAGGAGGAGGAGGAGGAGGAGGAGGAGGAGGAGGAGGAGGCGGAGGCGGAGGCGGAGGAGGAGGAGGAGGAGGAGGAGGAGGAGGAGGAGGAGGAGGAGGAGGAGGAGGAGGAGGAGGAGGAGGAGGAGGAGGAGGAGGCGGAGGCGGAGGCGGAGGAGGAGGAGGAGGAGGAGGAGGAGGAGGAGGAGGAGGAGGAGGAGGAGGAGGAGGAGGAGGAGGAGGATGAGGCGGAGGCGGAGGAGGAGGAGGAGGAGGAGGAGGAGGAGGAGGAGGAGGAGGAGGAGGAGGAGGAGGAGGAGGAGGAGGAGGAGGAGGAGGAGGAGGAGGAGGAGGAGGAGGAGGAGGAGGAGGATGAGGCGGAGGCGGAGGAGGAGGAGGAGGAGGAGGAGGAGGAGGAGGAGGAGGAGGAGGAGGAGGAGGAGGAGGCCACGCATGGTAACGCAACGCAGCATGAGCAGTGAGAGCACCTGCTTCTCATAGCCCAGCAAGCGCCCTAGGCTCTTAAAGCCCAGCAGCGCACCTACTTCTTAAAGCTCGGCAGCGCACCTGGTTCTTAAAGCCCGGCAGCGCACCTGGTTCTCATAGCCTGTGTAGGCGGGCTTCTCGCCAGCCAGGGGATGCGGGTACTCTGCCGTCATGCTGCCAGTGCAACGGGGGGAGATGGGATGCAGAATGGAATTGAATGGAGTGCGCATTCGTGTGGGAGAAATCATGTGATGTGTCTGTGCGCGTCTGGGAGCCTTGGGAGGAAAGGCAGGAGGTTTTTCAAGAGCAGGGTTCAATTCATGTCAAAGGTAGTTGCTTTTTGAGGATTTTCAAAAAATTTCCATTAGTTTTTTGAAAACAGCAATAGCTTCATGGCATGGAGCATGGGCAGTGGCACGAGCAGAGCAGAGCGTACCTCCACGGCAGAGCGTACCTCCACGGCAGAGCGTACCTCCACGGCAGAGCGTACCTCCACGCCAGAGCGTACCTCCACGCCATGTGAAGAACATGTGGAGGGGCACTTGCAGGGCCTCCGCCACTGTGGTGTGACCTGCATGCATGGTCACCAGGGCACGCATGGGTGCGGATGGGGGTGCATGGGGGTGCATGGGGTGCAGTGCAGGTGTGTATGGTTGTGGGTGTGTTCGCGTCGCGTGGATGGACCATGGATGCGTGGTTGAATTGAACGCATTGAGATGCCGATACATGGATGTGTGTATGGCGAATACACAGCCCTGCGTTTCCTGCTCCAGCGCATAGCTTACCGTAAACAGGAGGGTTGGGCGATGATGGCGGGCACACACGTACCGTACACGGGGGGGTTGGCGATGATGGCATCGGCACGGAAGGGGGCGCCGTTGCTGGCGAGGTCGGGGTGGGTGCAGGCGGGCCAGGTGGAGAAGATGATGGACTCGAGCTGCTGCCACTGCTGTACTACCTCCGCGCTGCTCGATGGCAGGAAGCCCTTGTTCTTCACCATGTCTGCCTGGGGGGAGGAAAGACAAGGCAGGGGTGAGGAAGGCGCCCCGAACGAAGCTTTGTCCCTTTGGGGACTGCTCTACTGTATTGGAGCCCACTCTGGAGCTCTCAATACGAGAAACGCGTAGACAGCAGCAAGCTCGGTTTGACGGGCCACTAATTGAGAGGTCTCAATTAGTACAAGTAGCTATGTCCGTTTGGGGACTGCTTGACCGTATTGGAGCCCACTCTGCCACGGACACCTATAAAGGGTCAAAGGTGTCCGTGGCGGCAGCAAGTAGCTATCAGGTAATGCATTGTTTGCTCTTACTCACCTGCATGCCTGTAATATAGAGTACACTATACGAAGGAGCATTAGAGAAGGTGGGGGCGAGACGAGGCATGGCAGCGGAAGGCGTGGATTGGATGACTCCCCACGCCCATGTCCTCCCCCCTTCCCCCTCCCCTCTCCCCGCACTCACGTCCGCCTCGCCAACCCCACCCAATCAAATTTCTCCGCGCTTGCAGTCCTGTCACCCCAATCGATTGCCCTCACTTCCTTCCCCCCACTGGCGCTTACCCCCTACCCCACCTACACTCACCTCACCTCTTCCCCCCCCCCCGCGCACTCACATTCAGCGAGCACCTTGGGATCGCCGGCCAGAGGGTAGAACTCGAGCCCGCCTGCCATGACCAACTCGAGCCCGCCTGCCATGACCAACTCGAGCCCGCCTGCCATGACCAACTCGAGCCCGCCTGCCATGACCAACTCGATCGAGCCCGCCTGCCATGACCAACTCGAGCCCGCCTGCCATGACCAACTCGATCGAGCCCGCCTGCCATGACCAACTCGAGCCCGCCTGCCATGACCAACTCGAGCCCGCCTGCCATGACCAACTCGAGCCCGCCTGCCATGACCAACTCGAGCCCGCCTGCCATGACCAACTCGAGCCCGCCTGCCATGACCAACTCGAGCCCGCCTGCCATGACCAACTCGCCGTAGTTGCTGTGCGACGCCAGCCGCACGCGGTGCCCGTAGCTCTGCCACGGGGGGGAGAGCGCGGATGGCACGGGGGGAAGGCACTGGGGGGACTGAGCGCGGATGGCACGGGGGGAAGGCACTGGGGGGACTGAGCGCGGATGGCACGGGGGGAAGGCACTGGGGGGACTGAGCGTGGATGGCACGGGGGGAAGGCACTGGGGGGACTGAGCGTTGATGGCACGGGGGGAAGGCACTGGGGGGACTGAGCGTGGATGGCATGGGGGGAAGGCACTGGGGGGACTGAGCGCGGATGGCACGGGGGGAAGGCACTGGGGGGACTGAGCGTGGATGGCATGGGGGGAAGGCACTGGGGGGACTGAGCGCGGATGGCATGGGGGGAAGGCACTGGGGGGACTGAGCGCGGATGGCACGGGGGGGAGGCACTGGGGGGACTGAGCGCGGATGGCAGGGGGGGAAGGCACTGGGGGGACTGAGCGCGGATGGCAGGGAGGGAAAGGCGCTGGGGGGAGGCGCGGGGATGGCACGGGGGAGCCATGGACAATAATTTGAGCGACTCCTTCCACGTCCCCCACCCACCCCCGGGCGCTGATTTCACCTTGTATGCCGCACCTTCAGTTTCTGACCAATGGCAATGAACGGCTGTACGTCCCCGCGCGTGCCCACGATCAGCATGCATATGTTCAGCTTCCCCACGCTCTCCGCCGCACGCGGCGCTATCACCTCGCCCTCATGCCCCGCCTGGTCCTGCGGCTGCGCGAACATGTGCAGAAAATCCTCCTGGAGTTCCCGAGAGAACTTGTCCGATTGAATGTGCACCTTGTAGTCATCGCCCACGACCGTGTTCCGCTTCAGCTCGTTGTAAAATCTCGATGCCAATGCCTCACGTTGCCGGGCCGTCAGGTATGCGGATCGCCGGGTGTACGGCGCCTTGGCACGTGGCAGATCCGTGGCGGCTCGTCTGATATTGGTCTTGCTGTCTCGCATATCGCCACTGCCTAGGCCTTTCTCCCCGTCCAGGATCTCGTACCCGCTGCCTGGGACCACGCCTTCACTAACCCTCGATAAAATGCCGTCGTCATCCTCGTTATGAGGGTGTTTCGCCATAATGGGCAACGAGTACATTTTCATGGTATCCGTGAAAGTGGCCATTGTATCGGATTGGCTGCTGTGCCGAGCATTTTGCTCCCAGCCGGAAGCCGCGCACTCTGCGGTCGTGGGGTGAACCTTGCCCACAAGCAGATGCGCGCGAAACTGCGGGGGAGCAGCTACAGCTCCTTCGTTAGCGCGACTAGTTTCGTCATAAGGGAAATCTTGAATCACAAGATGTAACACCCAAGGCTATTATAATGGAGTTACAATGCTTTTATAATAAATCTCAATACAAGTTGAAGCTCTAACTAGCTCCCAATAGCCTTGGAGGTGTCAATCTTCTTGAAAGAGTTGTTGAAAAGGCTTGAGAGAATTGTGTAGGAAGGCTTGTAAGAGAGCTCTCAATGACTTAGGCAAAACAATCCCATTTCCAATTGTTAAGTTGGAGTGGGAGGTTGAGAATGAGCTTGCTTAGCTCAGACCCCCTCAATACACCCCTTGGGGAACTATCCCAACCATGGTTTCCATGGTGGGATGGTTCCTAGGCTTGGAGCCTATGTGGCAATTGTGTTGGGTTGGAAAACCCAACTTAGAACCATTCAATGGTTGTGTTTAGGATAGAGTAGATTGTAACACTTGTTTGGCAGTTTCTGATTGGTTGGAATTCCAACCTTCAACATTCTCTTGGTTGAGTTGGAAATGTTCCAAACCTCCAAAGTTGAGGCTTGGCAAACCCAAACCAAGTTTCATCCCAACCAACTCAACCATCTTCTCCAACTCTTCCTTTGTCGAGAGAAGTTCTCAACAATTGACTTAGAGAGAGATCGATGGTTGTTAGCTCGGTAGTTAGGGTAATACGTTACACTCCTCCCCCCCCAGGTGGCAACGTCCCCGTTGCCCTAGGGTGCTTCTGAGGACGAGTGCTTCGAGCACGGCGCACCACATTACGACCAGGGTCAACCCCGTCCACTGGTTGTGGGCCTGCTCGTAGAGCCAGGTCTTCCATATACGCTTGAACCGCTGCTTCGGTCAAGTGTTCCTCAGGCTCCCAAGAGTTGTGTTCCGGCCCATAGCCTTTCCACTGAATTAGGAACTCACGAACAGTTTTGCGGCCGCGTTGTCGATCACGGTGCGTTAGCACACGCTCGACTTCGTAAAAGAGTTCCTCCTCGAGAGCGATGGTTGGTGGCGGTAAGTACTTGCCTTCTGCAACGTACTTATTCAACAGAGACACGCGGAAGACGTTATGAATCTGCAATGTCGCAGGCAATTTGAGCCTATATGCGACCTCACCAACACGCGCGATCACCTCGAAGGGCCCAATCCAACGAGGGAAAAGCTTTCGTGCTCCCGGGATCTTGAGACGAATGTTCTTCGTACTCAGTAATACTTTGTCGCCAACTGCAAAAACGACTTCCCGGCGTTTCATGTCGGCATAGGATTTTTGCCTCTGTTGGGCAAGCTGCAGCCAATGGCGAGCGGACTTCAATGCCGCTTGCTGACTTCCAATAAAGTCCTTTGCGGCAGGGATTTTGAGGTTCTTAATCCCATGCGTCGCGGGGGTTGTGGGGTGGCGACCACAGTTCAGGACAAAGGGTTTCTCATGGGTGCTTTCATGCACAGAATTGTTTACAGCGAATTCCACGACTGGCAACAATTCATCCCAATCGTCCTGAGTTGGGCTTATGAAAGAACGAAGCATTTGCTCAAGAGTGCGGTTGGTCCGCTCTGTCTGTCCATCCGTTTGCGGGTGGAACGCAGACGACATCTTGAGTTTCGTTCCGAGTGTCTTAATGACCTCTTGCCAGAACCGGCTTGTGAAGCGCGGGTCTCGGTCAGACACCATCACACGAGGCAAACCGTGTAAGCGGAAAACGTGCGTCACGAACAACTTTGCAGTATCCTCTGCGGACACGTCAGTCGTCGTAGGCACGAAGTGCACCATTTTGGTCAAGCGATCTACAAACACTAGTATCGCTGTATGACCATCTCGCGTCTTGGGGAGATCGGTGATAAAATCCATCGATACACTCTCCCAAGGTTCATCGGGAATCTCGAGTGGTTGAAGCAAACCACCAGGCTTCTGTGTGCTTGGCTTGTGCCGCGCACACGTGTCACAGCGAGTTACAAAATGCTGGACCTCAATGCCCAATCCCGGCCACCAGTATACATCACTGGGGGCCCACCGGGTTTTCTTGACACCCAGGTGTCCTCCATACTTAGTGGCGTGCACCTCTGCTAGAATATCATTCCGCAGGTTTCCCACATGTGGGACAACAATTTCTTTCTTGTGCCACCAGAGCTCATGCTCCCACAAGAGATCCTTTGTATTCTGTGGGTTCCGAAACCAAGGGTCAATATCATACCCTGCGCGAACGCGTTTCAGAAAACCACCAAAGGCAATCTCACTCACTCGAGCAGCTGCGAGGATGTTGAAACAAGCAGCAAACACTGCTTCATGTTCAGTATTATCAACACCCGTTGCTGCACCAATCGGCTGTCTGCTCAGAGGATCAGCCATGTTCGTCGAGCCCGCTCGATATCGAATATCATAGGTGAACCCACTAAGGAGTTCAGCCCATCGAGCTTGACGACGGGTGAGTGTGGCTTGAGTGGCAAAATAGGTGTTCGGACAGTGGTCGGTCGTGACCACAAAGTCAACACCTTCGAGATAACATCTCCATGTTTGTAGCGCATGCACAACTGCCAACAATTCTTGTTCGGAAGTTGTATAGCGCTGTTCAGCTGGTGAAAGCTTTCTACTCTCAAATGCCACGGGGCGTCCTTCTTGCAAAAGAACTGCTCCAATCCCTACTGTCGAGGCATCAGTTACCACCTCGTAGGGCTTGGACGGGTCTGGCAAAGCCAGCACTGGAGCATTGGTCAGCATGGTTTTCACCTCCTCAAATGCCTTCTGGCATTGATCGGTCCACTGCCAAGCATTACCCTTACGAGTGAGGGCAGTCAGTGGAGCGACTACGGAGGAATAATTTTCCAAGAAACGGCGAAAATAGTTCGCAAGTCCAAGAAATGATCTGACCTGTCCCACGTCCTGTGGAACGGGCCACTGTTGGACTGCCGCCACTTTCTTTGGATCGACTTTGAGGCCATCGTTGCCTACCAAGTGACCAAGGTATTCCAACTCGCGTTTGTAGAAGTGACACTTCCACAATCGAGCAAAGAATTTATGCTCTTGCAGTTTTCCTAACACCCATTTCATGTGTTGCATGTGTTCTTCTTCAGTCTTCGAGTACACGAGGATGTCATCCAAGTATACCAGGACAAATTGGCCAATTGCTTCCCGAAACACATCATTCATTGCTCGCTGAAATGACGCGGGAGCATTTGTCAAGCCAAAACTTAACACACGCCACTGAAAATGTCCGAACGGCGTTCTGAAAGCCGTTTTTGGAACATCTTCTTCGGTGATTCGTAGCTGATGATACCCCTGAGCTAAGTCCAGCGCACTGAACCACTGAGCTCCTTGGAGCCGATCGAACAGATCCTCAATTCGTGGTAGAGGGTATCTGTTCTTCACCGTAATCTTGTTCAAGGCACGATAATCTACGCACATGCGTAATCCTCCGCCCTTCTTGTTAACGAACAAAATTGGTGCTCCGTAAGGGGATGCACTGGGTTCAATCCATCCTTTTTTGAGGTATTCCTTGATCTGTTGTTTGGCCTCTTCGTACTCAGCTGAACTGAGGCGATACAGAGGTCGAAAGGGTGGAACCTTTCCTGGTTCAACAGGGATGGTGTGACCCACTGCGCGGTCAGGCGGAAGTCCATCAGGGATGGTTTCAAACACTTCCTTAAATTCCTCTGCCAGAATTTGCATCTGAGGAGGGAAATTCTCAATTGTTGGCTCCGAGGCCTCAGCATTCTCAAGCTGTACCACAAACAGTGTATCAGCCGACTTAACAGAATGCCCGAACTGGTTGGCCAACACACACAGCACGCTGGGACGTTCAGGCGTCTGTGTTTCAGTGGGCAAAGTATCATTGACTTGCCACTGGATTGCCTTTCCGTTCTTGTTGAACGAGACAATGTTGTACTGGAAGTCCAGAATGACTTCGTTGGCTCGCAACCAATCCATGCCCAGGATGAGGTCGACACCTGACAAAAGTGGTAGGACATACACGCGAACTGCTTCGCTATAGTCCTGTACATTCATGTCGATATGTGTCTGTCCTTTACTTGGAATGACACGATCGTCACCCAAGCGGATGGGACATGACGGTCCTACAATGAGGACGTTGCGTGTCGTAACCCAAGTTTCATCAACAAGGGAGACCGACGCGCCTGTATCGACGAGAATCCTTGCTTCGTCTCCATTCATGCGTCCAGATAACAGTAGATTCTGTTGGAATCTTGGACGGATGGGACAAGCGACAACAAGTTTAGGAGGTCGATAGTACACCCTAAATTTGTTGTAAGCACGTCCAAACCTTTGGGATGTGGTCCACCAAACATGGTGCCCTTTGTCCCATGTTGCCAGGATATGCCATTCATGAAATCGGCGGAACAACTCTCCTTTCACGATTCGAGTCACCAATCCCACTGACGTGAGCGGATGCTCTTGGACACAACGGTCCACAATATCCATGATTGCTGGCAACTCTTTGAACGAGCAAGAGATGATTGAAAATTTATCTCTCAAAAATTCAATTGAAATGTTTTCAAGTGGGTACGATCGAGTTTTAAAAACAGATTTTTCATTAATAGAAGAGGCATACAAACAAGCGATTTTGCGTGATGCAAGCTTCTCTAGCTTTAGCAAATCCTCATCACGAAGGACATAAGCCTCATCTACTCGATCTCGCTCACCAACTAGGTACCCACCCCCTAGTTGGACTTCGGAAAATCCTTCGGGCCCGAAGGGCCAGAACCATCCGGCTTCTTGCCCTGGTTGGGCTTGCCGGAGTTCTTGACGGACTTCCTCCAACGGCAGTGATTGGACTTGTGCCCGAGCTTGCCACAGATGCGGCAGCCCGCCGGGGGCTTATCCTCATCCTGAGGATCCTTGGCAGGCCCAGCATGGGCCCTCTTGGACTGAGTCCCAGAGGATTCCCCCTTCTGCTGATAGGGCCTCTTCCAAGAGCCACTGCCCCTGTGTGCCTGAGTCCTGTTACCACCCCCCCTAGGGCCTTCGGCACTAGGCTGCTGCTGAGCACGAGCGTGAGTCATGTACGCACGGAAATTCACATCCGTGTCAATGACCTGCTCCTTGCACTCCTTGTAGGTCCTCCACTGGTGCTCCCCACGCACAACATGCACACGCTTGATGTGCTCAGGGAGTCCCTTGAAGAACTGGTGGATGACCTCACTCTCAGGAAGAGCAGTCTTCAGCAGCGACAGAGTTTTCTCAAACTCCTTGGCGTACTCGCGTACAGGCTGGTCACCGCGCTGGATGTTCTCCAGGCGGCTACGCACCTCGAGCGCCGGGGGCTGACTCAGGAATGCCGCCAGCATGGCAGCTTTGAACTCCTCCCAGCCAAAAGGATGGCCATTAGCCTCTGCGTGGCGATTGTTGGCATACACCAACTTGCTCGCAGTGTCGTCCAGGGCAAGGGTCGCAGCGACCACGCGAGCCTCGCTACGCACATTGTGGATGGACATAAAGTCCTCCGCAATGGAGAGCCAAGTCTCAACGTCAGTTTTGCCATGGACAAAACGAGGCAGGGCCGAAGGGCAGGAGCCAAAAGCAGTTGCTGCTGCAGTAGGAGGCTCAACACGTGCTCCAGTAGGAGGGGGAACAGCAGAAGGAGCATCAGCAGGTGCAGCCCGGCTGTTAGCGGCGTTGGCAACTCGCTCTGCTGCAGGAGCAGGCTGGTAGAGGTTTCCACGCCGGATCTCCCTGTACTGGGCCTAAAGCACAGAGATGTGTTTCTCTTGCTTCTTAAGCTGATCCTGCACGAACTGGATAGTAGTCTGCAGGTCCTGAATGAAGCTGGAGGTGTCGTTCTCCTTAGGGATCGACTGCACCTCCCTGGTCAGCTGCTCAATCAAGGCCTGAAGCTTAACAGAATCAGCCTCCAAGTTCTGGATGCGGCACTGTTGCACTCCAATGAGAATATTCTGCTCCGTGAGTTGAGTCTGGAGCTTGACAGCAATGTTCTCAGTCTCATTGGAAACACCCTCATCAGAGCCAGCCTCATCCTCATTTTCAGCATCAGCCTCAAGGTCAGCTTCACTTCCATTAATCTCCATGTCAACCACAAAGTCCTCAAGGTTGAGATCAATGTCAGCAGCAGCAGCAGCATTATCTCCCTCATTGCCAGCAATGGGCACCTCCTTAGTAGCATCCATCTCTTGACCAGAAGCCATGAAACAGGTTAAGGAGAGGAGATCTCAACAGATCTTATAATAATCTTTAAGAAATCTGATTACCCTTATAGAATAATCCAATACAGAATCTCTTAAGATTGACTTGTTTGCTAAATCTCTCTATCACCTTAATGATAGAGCAAGATATACTCAAAAGAGTAATCCTCAACAAGTCCTTGTGGATCTGAAGATACACTCTTCTACCAAAGGTAGATTAGAGTCTTCCACCAAAGGTGGGTAAGAGAAATCAATCTCTTCAAATTTCTTCACAATGTTGATGAAGAAGGGGAGCTCCTTGTAGATATTGTAGCTCCAATGGTGGTTTGAAGAAATTGAAGTTGAAGATGTAGATCTTGAAGATGGTTTTGTAGATCTTGAAATTTCTTCAATATCTTCAAGATCTTGATAGCTCCTTGGATGAAATCCTAGATCCACAAGCTAGGATCCTCTAAAAAAAATAATCCAAGTAGCAAATGGCCACACAAGGCCAAGGAAGAACCTTGCTCTAGATACCAATGTAACACACAAGGCTATTATAATGGAGTTACAATGCTTTTATAATAAATCTCAATACAAGTTGAAGCTCTAACTAGCTCCCAATAGCCTTGGAGGTGTCAATCTTCTTGAAAGAGTTGTTGAAAAGGCTTGAGAGAATTGTGTAGGAAGGCTTGTGAGAGAGCTCTCAATGACTTAGGCAAAACAATCCCATTTCCAATTGTTTAGTTGGAGTGGGAGGTTGAGAATGAGCCTGCTTAGCTCAGACCCCCTCAATACACCCCTTGGGGAACTATCCCAACCATGGTTTCCATAGTGGGATGGTTCCTAGGCTTGGAGCCTATGTGGCAATTGTGTTGGGTTGGAAAACCCAACTTAGAACCATTCAATGGTTGTGTTTAGGATAGAGTAGATTGTAACACTTGTTTGGCAGTTTCTGATTGGTTGGAATTCCAACCTTCAACATTCTCTTTGTTGAGTTGGAAATGTTCCAAACCTCCAAAGTTGAGGCTTGGCAAACCCAAACCAAGTTTCATCCCAACCAACTCAACCATCTTCTCCAACTCTTCCTTTGTCGAGAGAAGTTCTCAACAATTGACTTAGAGAGAGATCGATGGTTGTTAGCTCGGTAGTTAGGGTAATACGTTACACTCCTCCCCCCCCAGGTGGCAACGTCCCCGTTGCCCTAGGGTGCTTCTGAGGACGAGTGCTTCGAGCACGGCACACCACATTACGACCAGGGTCAACCCCGTCCACTGGTTGTGGGCCTGCTCGTAGAGCCAGGTCTTCCATATACGCTTGAACCGCTGCTTCGGTCAAGTGTTCCTCAGGCTCCCAAGAGTTGTGTTCCGGCCCATAGCCTTTCCACTGAATTAGGAACTCACGAACAGTTTTGCGGCCGCGTTGTTGATCACGGTGCGTTAGCACACGCTCGACTTCGTAAAAGAGTTCCTCCTCGAGAGCGATGGTTGGTGGCGGTAAGTACTTGCCTTCTGCAACGTACTTATTCAACAGAGACACGCGGAAGACGTTATGAATCTGCAATGTCGCAGGCAATTTGAGCCTATATGCGACCTCACCAACACGCGCGATCACCTCGAAGGGCCCAATCCAACGAGGGAAAAGCTTTCGTGCTCCCGGGATCTTGAGACGAATGTTCTTCGTACTCAGTAATACTTTGTCGCCAACTGCAAAAACGACTTCCCGGCGTTTCATGTCGGCATAGGATTTTTGCCTCTGTTGGGCAAGCTGCAGCCAATGGCGAGCGGACTTCAATGCCGCTTGCTGATTTCCAATAAAGTCCTTTGCGGCAGGGATTTTGAGGTTCTTAATCCCATGCGTCGCGGGGGTTGTGGGGTGCCGACCACAGTTCAGGACAAAGGGTTTCTCATGGGTGCTTTCATGCACAGAATTGTTTACAGCGAATTCCACGACTGGCAATAATTCATCCCAATCGTCCTGAGTTGGGCTTATGAAAGAACGAAGCATTTGCTCAAGAGTGCGGTTGGTCCGCTCTGTCTGTCCATCCGTTTGCGGGTGGAACGCAGACGACATCTTGAGTTTCGTTCCGAGTGTCTTAATGACCTCTTGCCAGAACCGGCTTGTGAAGCGCGGGTCTCGGTCAGACACCATCACACGAGGCAAACCGTGTAAGCGGAAAACGTGCGTCACGAACAACTTTGCAGTATCCTCTGCGGACACGTCAGTCGTCGTAGGCACGAAGTGCACCATTTTGGTCAAGCGATCTACAAACACTAGTATCGCTGTATGACCATCTCGCGTCTTGGGGAGATCGGTGATAAAATCCATCGATACACTCTCCCAAGGTTCATCGGGAATCTCGAGTGGTTGAAGCAAACCACCAGGCTTCTGTGTGCTTGGCTTGTGCCGCGCACACGTGTCACAGCGAGTTACAAAATGCTGGACCTCAATGCCCAATCCCGGCCACCAGTATACATCACTGGGGGCCCACCGGGTTTTCTTGACACCCAGGTGTCCTCCATACTTAGTGGCGTGCACCTCTGCTAGAATATCATTCCGCAGGTTTCCCACATGTGGGACAACAATTTCTTTCTTGTGCCACCAGAGCTCATGCTCCCACAAGAGATCCTTTGTATTCTGTGGGTTCCGAAACCAAGGGTCAATATCATACCCTGCGCGAACGCGTTTCAGAAAACCACCAAAGGCAATCTCACTCACTCGAGCAGCTGCGAGGATGTTGAAACAAGCAGCAAACACTGCTTCATGTTCAGTATTATCAACACCCGTTGCTGCACCAATCGGCTGTCTGCTCAGAGGATCAGCCATGTTCGTCGAGCCCGCTCGATATCGAATATCATAGGTGAACCCACTAAGGAGTTCAGCCCATCGAGCTTGACGACGGGTGAGTGTGGCTTGAGTGGCAAAATAGGTGTTCGGACAGTGGTCGGTCGTGACCACAAAGTCAACACCTTCGAGATAACATCTCCATGTTTGTAGCGCATGCACAACTGCCAACAATTCTTGTTCGGAAGTTGTATAGCGCTGTTCAGCTGGTGAAATCTTTCTACTCTCAAATGCCACGGGGCGTCCTTCTTGCAAAAGAACTGCTCCAATCCCTACTGTCGAGGCATCAGTTACCACCTCGTAGGGCTTGGACGGGTCTGGCAAAGCCAGCACTGGAGCATTGGTCAGCATGGTTTTCACCTCCTCAAATGCCTTCTGGCATTGATCGGTCTACTGCCAAGCATTACCCTTACGAGTGAGGGCAGTCAGTGGAGCGACTACGGAGGAATAATTTTCCAAGAAACGGCGAAAATAGTTCGCAAGTCCAAGAAATGATCTGACCTGTCCCACGTCCTGTGGAACGGGCCACTGTTGGACTGCCGCCACTTTCTTTGGATCGACTTTGAGGCCATCGTTGCCTACCAAGTGACCAAGGTATTCCAACTCGCGTTTGTAGAAGTGACACTTCCACAATCGAGCAAAGAATTTATGCTCTTGCAGTTTTCCTAACACCCATTTCATGTGTTGCATGTGTTCTTCTTCAGTCTTCGAGTACACGAGGATGTCATCCAAGTATACCAGGACAAATTGGCCAATTGCTTCCCGAAACACATCATTCATTGCTCGCTGAAATGACGCGGGAGCATTTGTCAAGCCAAAACTTAACACACGCCACTGAAAATGTCCGAACGGCGTTCTGAAAGCCGTTTTTGGAACATCTTCTTCGGTGATTCGTAGCTGATGATACCCCTGAGCTAAGTCCAGCGCACTGAACCACTGAGCTCCTTGGAGCCGATCGAACAGATCCTCAATTCGTGGTAGAGGGTATCTGTTCTTCACCGTAATCTTGTTCAAGGCACGATAATCTACGCACATGCGTAATCCTCCGCCCTTCTTGTTAACGAACAAAATTGGTGCTCCGTAAGGGGATGCACTGGGTTCAATCCATCCTTTTCTGAGGTATTCCTTGATCTGTTGTTTGGCCTCTTCGTACTCAGCTGGACTGAGGCGATACAGAGGTCGAAAGGGTGGAACCTTTCCTGGTTCAACAGGGATGGTGTGACCCACTGCGCGGTCAGGCGGAAGTCCATCAGGGATGGTTTCAAACACTTCCTTAAATTCCTCTGCCAGAATTTGCATCTGAGGAGGGAAATTCTCAATTGTTGGCTCCGAGGCCTCAGCATTCTCAAGCTGTACCACAAACAGTGTATCAGCCGACTTAACAGAATGCCCGAACTGGTTGGCCAACACACACAGCACGCTGGGACGTTCAGGCGTCTGTGTTTCAGTGGGCAAAGTATCATTGACTTGCCACTGGATTGCCTTTCCGTTCTTGTTGAACGAGACAATGTTGTACTGGAAGTCCAGAATGACTTCGTTGGCTCGCAACCAATCCATGCCCAGGATGAGGTCGACACCTGACAAAAGTGGTAGGACATACACGCGAACTGCTTCGCTATAGTCCTGTACATTCATGTCGATATGTGTTTGTCCTTTACTTGGAATGACACGATCGTCACCCAAGCGGATGGGACATGACGGTCCTACAACGAGGACGTTGCGTGTCGTAACCCAAGTTTCATCAACAAGGGAGACCGACGCGCCTGTATCGACGAGAATCCTTGCTTCGTCTCCATTCATGCGTCCAGATAACAGTAGATTCTGTTGGAATCTTGGACGGATGGGACAAGCGACAACAAGTTTAGGAGGTCGATAGTACACCCTAAATTTGTTGTAAGCACGTCCAAACCTTTGGGATGTGGTCCACCAAACATGGTGCCCTTTGTCCCATGTTGCCAGGATATGCCATTCATGAAATCGGCGGAACAACTCTCCTTTCACGATTCGAGTCACCAATCCCACTGACGTGAGCGGATGCTCTTGGACACAACGGTCCACAATATCCATGATTGCTGGCAACTCTTTGAACGAGCAAGAGATGATTGAAAATTTATCTCTCAAAAATTCAATTGAAATGTTTTCAAGTGGGTACGATCGAGTTT